ATCTATGTATCTATATTCAGGTTATGAATCATTTTTGATCAACTAAGCTGTAGAAATATTACTAATTACTTATCCAATCCTCTGTAATGCTTAATATTTCTCATAAACACTTTAATTACTTACTTACTTAAACCTGTTACCACAAATGGAGCATAGGCCACCAATCAGCATTGTCCAAAGCACTCTTTTCTGAGTCTTGCTTTCTAGTTCTATCCTATCGTTGTTTATTCTTCTCATCTTTATCTTTATTATTAATAAACACCATAATGAATAATGTTTAAGTAGAATATTTTAATAAAAAGCTCAATGGTAGAGCTCTAGCTTAACATGCTAAAGGGACCAGGATCGATGCCTGACACTTTCATACTGCAACAGCCAGCTTAATAAAAATGTTACAGTAATTAATAATTGATATTTATTTCATATTTATCTTTATAAATATGATTAGTCAATAAGTGTCCAGTATGTGTAACAAACACATGTTTGTAATTTACAAGGAAACTTTATAAATAAAACTCTTATTTATCAATCTTTTTCCAATCATTTTAGTTCTAATGACTTTCATTTAATGCGTTTAATTTTGTAAATGTAAAACTAATAAAGATTCTTATTTAAATAAGACATTTCATCTTAAATTTAGATGAATTGTATAACAGTATTTAGGCGTCGAGTTGAAGTGAAACATTAAGGTGGAAGAATGTATGTGTAAAATCTCAATGAATGGATTCGAAGTAAACCCAACGTTTTGTTCGGTAATCTGGTTCAAACTTTTTACAAAGAAATATATGTTGTTATATATATATATTATTTTGCAATCGCATCAACTTTGATATTCATCTGCTAAGAATTTACGAATACATACTTTCTCTTTAATGATTCATAAAACTAGTTCGCTTTAACCTTAAACATTATCACATCACATCTCCTTGATTTATTACTCTTCATTCTAGGCAAGTTAAAACTTATGTCATATTATAGTAAACAAGAACACAAATGGGGACAATCGAATGTATGTTAATACAATATAACAGAATGTCTTATTAAAATCTGAGAAGTATACAGTGAATAGGTCATCTTCAAAATTTCAATCAGTTTGTCTTAAACCTGACTGTTCCTTATGCACATGTCGATCAATCGTCTCATACTTTAATGTTCTTTTGACTGCACATCAATCATTCCTTGTTCTCGTTTTCTTTCTTTGATCTTCTTAACTTTCTACCTCCCATCTATTTCACTTTCGATTATTAGTATATACTACTTAAATCTGTCGAATTCAGTAGCACACACCACAATATCATGAATTAATTATTAAATAAAATTAAGAATTGAGTTGATTCAATTTAATTTATATAAAACGAGTTCATAACTTAATGATTATTAAATATCTGGTTTAAATGATTTGCCAAATTTATCACCATTCAATAAATTCTCACTTATATAATAAACATTTATAAAATGCAATTGTCAAAATATCTATTGAATTATAGAACTGTTAATATGTATTTGATACCGTTTACTATACATCACAGCTGTTATTATTCACGTTTAGTGGTTAAAAGATTCCCATTTTATTAAAACAAAAATATATAAAAGAAGAATATTCTTCTCAATTTCCTCTAATCACGTTCAACAGTAATCTGAATGAATGGCCAAGTTTAAAGCAGAAACAATACCATTATATGTGAAAATTATATTTGAAATAATCTCAGCGATTGAAATCTAAATAATTTCAACGTTTCGTCCAGCCAACTTGTCTGAACTTCTTCAGGGTACTAATCAAAATCATCAACCTGAAGACGTCCGAACATGTTAGCTGAATGAAACGTTGGAATTATTTAAATTTCAATAGCTGAGGTTATTTCAAATATAATTTTCACATGTAATGACTTCTCTATTCTAGGTTCTTATTTTTTGTCAAATCTTGACGAATATTCGTAGATGCAATACCGTCCAGGTTTTCTAAAAATAAATAATAAACGCTTTAGATTTGTGAACAGAAAAGACTAAGTTCAATCACTTTTCATATTATCGTGTTCAAACTCAAATGTAATACGTCAATAGTCATCTTAATTCTGGGATAATCTACTTTGATTGATCTACATACATCTTTTCTCCTTTATATTTTCGTAACTTTTGTTATTGTTATATGCTATATATTATTGTAATAATTATCACAATTACTATTACCATCAATCTTGTGAAAACACTAAGAATTTGATTACCTATTATCCCATTTTATTATCCCATATTATTGTAGATACTAAGTATTCTTTGACCAAACAATTTGATTTGATTTGCAATTACATAATAGTTTCTTTCACTCTGGATTAATCAACCTTTTAATTTCATTTAATGTATAAACCTATTTCAGTTAACATTAGGTAGTAATCATTTCAACATGAACAATTCTATTTTAAAATGTTTTATATTTCTATACTGGATTATTTGTCTTAAATTTGACTATTCTTTTGAAACCAACACTTGTATTTATAAATGTAGAACCTGATGTGAATATGAAGAGAAGAATATTCTTTATTCAGATATTTTCTTTAAGAGATTCGATTTATTCATTGAAAGCCAAGAAGAAGAAAAAAGAGTTCCAATCTATTCCTTACTGTTGTTTATCTTTGAAGTTAGATTATGTAAAGCAATAGATAAGTCTGTCAGTGGAATTCTTCATTTTAAAGCTTTTGTAATAAAGATAAATTGTTTCATTGTGAAAAGTACTCGTTAATGCGTTCCCGTTTTTTTGTCGAATATAAATATCAACGATTTAATAATCATTACTGAAGTTAATTCAAGTTAAATATAATTTGAGCGGCGGTAAAAAAAACAACTAAACGGATAAATGTTTATTCAATAGTAAATAGGTCTCGTGGGACCAATTCTGAAGAAAAACAGTATGATGTGGAAACAAATTGCTGCTAGAGGAATGACAACTTAATATTATATCTATGATTTTCTAGAACTACGATTTTATAATTGCCTATTCTTAAGCTTTCATTTTTCTTAAATGATATTATGAAGTAGTCATTTGATTTAGCAAAAATGTAGTGAAGACAGTGAACAACTCAATACTGGCTTAATTAGTGCAAACTGATCATAGTACCAGTATAAGCCAATCTTTCACAATAATTTATCACGTCAGTATTTTTTTTTTACCAAAGTCTGTCAGACTCGAAGTCCTTCCAACGACAGAAGTAGCAGCCATTCGGATTAAATGACTGAAGCTAAGTGTATAAAAGAAATATCTCCAACGGCTTCTCTTACCTTGGTCAGTTTCATGCCCAATTAATCAATACCAGTCTTAACTAGTGAATGTCATAATTTGACCAATGTACTTAGGACCTTTCTTAATCATATTTACTTTTCTTTGTTATCTTCATTCATATATCTTTGTATTATTATCATTACTATTATTAGTATTATTGTGATTATGATTTGTTTAACATCAATAATAATTTCCCGAATACATGATTAATTTACTTATCACTCACCCTTTTTTATTATTTCTTCCACTAAATGCTTGACCGAATCTGTAATTGTATTATCATTTCACTCACCCTATCCAAACTATAATTATTCCGGTCATTAATCGCACAATTCCATATAACGTATAAACTTGTTCAAGGTGACAACGCATATTGGTCATCTCAACATTAATAATATTTCACAATCCTAAATTCACATGCTATAATTTTAAAAGATGTATGTTGCCTTAGACTTATCCATATTATGGATTATGAGTTTGGGTATGTTATTGTAAAATCTGAAGAGAATTGATGTATACATATATTAGTGTTTTAATATGATGAGGGTTTTGTAAATAGTTGTTGAACTCCGTCAAACTAGTGTTTGTTGGATACCGGCTCGGTGGTCTAGAGGTTAAGATTTCACCAGCGAGACCGAGGGTCCTAGATTCGAATCCCGAGTGAGGGATCGTGGACGCGCACTGCTGAGCAGTTTCTTACTAGGACAAAAAGGCCGTTCAATGCTTCCAGGTTTTCAATGATGGTTTGAAATGGATCTATTCACGATCTTAATAAAAACTCAACAATCTCCACAACCTTATCGTGATAATTAGATATTTGTTAAATGAACAATTGGCAAGTTACTTATATGTTGAACAATGAGAACTGACTATTATATGGAGTTAAACAGATTTTTTCCAATCTCAATCTACCAAACATTAGAAAACGTTACTTTGAAGACCATTTAATGAACTCTGAAGAGTTTTTACAGTTAACATAATCTGAAACTGACTTAACATGATGTAAACCTGTGTGTGGATTTTGTTAACCACATCACAGTGATGCACACGTCACATATCGGTCTTCTCTGCTTGACGCCGAAGTGATAAGGCGTGTACGCGAAGGGTTACAGATAGTTAATAATGTTCGAAATGAAATAAAGTACATTTTAAATCTGATGAATAAGTTAGGCAGAACACTTATACCGTTTGTGTTGATAAAATTTTAAAAGAATTTCCCTTGAAGTTGCCTTTGAGTTACCGAAAGAGATCTTGCAAATTATTGCTTGTTTTCGTCGAAATTGGACAAATAGATAAAATAATCACACAAATTCAGAGCCTGTAAGTGTGAGAACCTGTTTAGTTAAATAGAAAATGACACTAATTTTAATAACTAATCTTGAGAGGTTGGAGAAAACTAAGAGCTGATGGGCATGGTTTTGACGGAGTTGTGTTCACTGAGCTGAGTGATTCAATCAGTAATTATCTTACTAGACCTTGATTTTGATTGCTTTTGTAACAGCAAAACTGTTAACAATAGAAACAGAAATCAGGGTTAACAGGACAGACTATTGGTAATATGTGGAGAAATTCGAATCGCTCACTTCTAACTGAATTTTGTAGTGACGATGCTGTTTAAAGAAAGAATAAAGCTTCACTATTAAATCCCCTAGTTCAAAAAATCCAACTCCACTCATAAAATGATTGGTTCTTCCATGCCTACATAACTATTACCCTCAGTATTAATCATATGGACGATTGGTTTAAACGTTCAACAGCATTAGACAATAAATTTCGAACAGTCTGTCGGTAATAACTTAGGTCAATAACTGAATAATAGTAAACAGTAATAGACTTATTCACAAATATCACTGAATTACTCCTACTAATAATCAAACTAGTATGCCTTACGAAGAGCGTTTCTCCATAATATAAAATACAGAATTTATCCACAACACTGATATAAGAAGACAATTTCGCAGTGACCAGTGGAGTTCATCCAGGTCTGTTGTGAGATATTAGCTCACTAAAGGAAATGGTGGACGGTCACGCAATTTAGTGGATTGGTTGAAGTTATACATTAACGCCGTTGGATGTCGTATCAGTGGTCTAGATGTTAGGTGCAAGACTAATAGGTCCTGGGTTCGAAACTCGCTAGGCGGGATCGTGGGTGCGCACTGCAGAGGAATAACATGCTAGGACGAAACGACTGTCCAGTGCTTCCAGGTTTTTCATCGTGATCTACTTTTAATTGCCTCATGAACTCAACCCCTTTCTGATAATGATTTCGTAAAAGCTAAGGAAACAGTAGTTATTTAATGTGACAGAATGGAAATTAGAGACTTCTATACATATATATTTAATAAAATTATCGGAATGTTTGTTATTGTCAGACTATTTTTTTAATCTTTTGGCTTGAATTGTTATGGTAATAAATATTTTTCCATAGACAACATTTTCAAATAGAACGTTTATTAGTTTATTACGATGAAGTGAACAATCTAACACTAAATACTATAAGATTAAAAATAATTTTGAAGGGACTACATTTATAGTTCTTGTCAGAATTATGTTTGCCTGACAATTCAAGTAACTACTGCTAATTAAAGATTCATCTATCGCAAAGTTTTCTAATAATGAGGTAGAACAAAATCTGGTGGAACTATAATTTATAAACGAATCAATCAGATCTGAGATAGTAGATCTTAGATTTTGACATGAAATCCATTCATTCATGTGATTGAATAGCATTTTGTCATTATAGCTCATTTCAGTTCATGATGTAACCTTAACTCTAATTTTCAACCCAAACATTCAACTTTAAATCCTAATCCTAATTCTAATCTTCATATAACCCTTTTTAAAAAAATAGATGGATATTCTAAAGGTCAATGAACCATAACTCATTGATCGTCCATAAACTATAGTCTCATCCAAAATCTTCATTATTTCAGATCTAGTGAATTCCTTATAAAATTCATGAAGCTTGATTATCATTAAAATATAGTCTTTATATCATTTTGAATAACGGAATATTTGCATGATAAGATTGGTAGCTTAATCTTTAAAGAATCTTAATCATAATTTTGATCAATATAATTAGCCTAAGGGTAAAACTGTTAACATAATCAATTAATTTCAGTTACTTATTTGATTAAACAGAATAATGTTATTGACTTTTCATTGATTATTTAATTTGAGTATTAAACTTATAATACAAAAAATTTCTGTTTTCTTTTTTTTTCTAGGCCAGGTTTAAGATGGGGTATACCACTTGGAGTAATTGTTACTGTTATAGTATTTTTGACAGTTAGTTATACAATTCAAGTATTTCGAGCTTGTGATAGATGTTATCATGAATGTCCAATATTTACACCGATACCAAGTAAGTCATTTGTCATTATTATTATTATCATTATTGTTAGAATAGTGTTCAAATTTTGTGAAAAAAAGGTCTAATATACTGACGTCTTGAGATGTTTTTTCTTGTTTCTTCTACAAAGCTTTATTGATAACATTATTGTCAACATACTCATCATCATCATCATCATCATCATCATCATCATCATCATCATCATCATCATCATCATCATCATCATCATCATCATCATCATCATCATCATCATCATCATCATCATCATCATCATCATCATCATCATCATCATCATCATCATCATCATCATCATCATCATCATCATCATCATCATCATCATCATCATCATCATCATCATCATCATCATCATCATCATCATCATCATCATCATCATCATCATCATCATCATCATCATCATCATCATCATCATCATCATCATCATCATCATCATCATCATCATCATCATCATCATCATCATCATCATCATCATCATCATCATCATCATCATCATCATCATCATCATCATCATCATCATCATCATCATCATCATCATCATCATCATCATCATCATCATCATCATCATCATCATCATCATCATCATCATCATCATCATCATCATCATCATCATCATCATCATCATCATCATCATCATCATCATCATCATCATCATCATCATCATCATCATCATCATCATCATCATCATTATAATCCCTCATTTATTTTATTCGTTCTGTAAAATAAGTTTGCAACTACAATCCTGCAACCGGCAATCGAACCATGAACCTTCAGTCATGCACACAAGAACGCTTAACCTCTAGACCACTGATACGGTATATAAATACGTAGAAATATGTTCATTTATTTTACTTACTATAATGAAACATCTTTCATTTCCGATGTTCATACATGCGTAATCTACTTCTTGTGATAAAAATATTGAGATAATGTTTTAGTTTGCAAATGTTTTGAAACAATCAATCAAAGTTTATTTTGTTTTATTAAAGATGAAATGTTAAATAATTTTATGTTAATCATTTTAGGCATATAAGAAATGAATAAATATTGTAAAGATTATAGTTCCTCAAGAAGTTTAGAAAAATATATGAATTACTGTTTGTTTTACAAGTTTGCAGGACTAGAAAATTTTTGAAATAATGATTATCAGTATGGGGTTATGGAGATTATTAAGTTTCTGATCGAGATCATGAACCGATTGATGTTAGACCACCACTGAAAACCTAGAAGCAATAAACGACTGTATCGTGCTATGGTGACACTCCTCAACAATGCGCATCCATGATCCCGATTGCGGGATTCGAACCCAGGACCTTCAGTTTTGCGTGCAAACGCCCAACCTCTGGACCACTGAGCCTGTATCCAACGGTATTAGTGTCTAACCTTGACAAATCCACGAAATTTCGCGACCATCTCCCGTTGTACTGAGGTACATACCTGTTTCTACCTGTCATGGATTGGATCCACTGCTTACGGCTTCTCGCGCAAGCAGGATCGTGCATGCGCACTGCTGAGGAGTTCCACAATAAGACGAGTTCATCTAGTCTGTGAACGAAACTTAGACACTGTGAATTAAAAGGAGTTACTGTTGAATAAAAATCATAATGAATAAATCAGTCAAATTTTAACCTTACATCCCGTCATAACACAATGGAGATCTGACATCAATCGATTCATGATCTCAAACAAAAAATAATTGCTATTCATTCACTGCTTAATTTTATCAGTGAAATAAATAAATTGAAATTTCACTTTGAACTAAAAAAACAAACTAAACGAAAAAGAAAATTCTTCATAAACAAAAACATTCAAAAAGTATACCCTTTATCATATACTGATCAACTTTTAATTACTTCCTCTGATGGTTTGTATTATGGATTGTTGTTCTTTTCAATGTCATACACATACCTATACAAAGACACATTCACAGATCTCCACAGTTTAATAGAAAAATAAAGACAAATACCCACATCAAAACACTAAAAACACAATAAACAAACCACTTAATTCATCTTATACTAATAAAGGAAGTCGAATAAATGTTTTATCGATCTGATATCTTTTATTTCATTACATTCTTATTGCATTAAACTATCCAATTCAAATAACACAACATAATCAAGTTAACAACAGTCCTTTATTAAAAAAAATTTCAAACTTAATATTAATTGTGAGTTGCTTGAAGTCCCGTTGAAAAGACATATGAATGGGAAAACCAACTAAATTAAAAGTTATGTAGTTCTTAATAGCTGTCACTAACTGAAAATTGTATGATATTGTGAATAGACTAAAGATGAAAAATGTGAAATTCTGCATATCAGATCAATGATTGAATGTATTCATAGTTATTGAGAAATTTGTAGATCTTGAGTTCTAAGCTTAATAAGATAATGAGTGTACAATGTCAATTAGTCCCAAACTTGAACGAAGTAATTGTATAGTGTTTTTTGGATTTCAATTAGTTTTTGAAATGATATTGTAGTGAAGGAGAACACTGGTGAGAACAACCGAATTATACTTAGAACAAAATTATATAGTTCCTTGGTAAAAATAGAAAAACCATACTATAATACTTCATTTGCAAAATGTTCAACAATTGTCTCAATCTTCGTTGTTCTTGCATTTCCATACTAATTTCTTTCTATTCCCGCTCTTTTCCTTTCTTGATCTTCCCCATCTTCTGCTGCCAGACATTACACTCCTGACTCGCGTCATATACTACTTATATCAATATAAATAGCACTCACCACAATATCATTTCTTGATGGAAATTGACTGAAAATGTATATGAATGACTATAAAACATTATTATGCTACATGCATTTTACTTACATATTTTCATAATACTAATAAGTAATAAAGAAAACGTTCATTTGTAAAGGTATAAGATTGAGATGGAGTTATTTATCGATTGGAATAACTACATTTCTATTATTTATTCAGTAGAAAGACAATACAGTAGTATTAGAAACAAATCTATGATTGTCATGATGATTTATTCATATTTTCATGGGAATAAACAATCAACAAATGACTGATAGTATAACTGATACAGAAAACTATTGACATAAATGTTTAATGCCTTAGATATTCAAGAAAATTAATCCGGTTGATTTATTTTATTCTCTATATCATGTTCTAATTCATTCGAATAGTATCTAACTCGGCTTTATCTTTTCGGTAAGATAATGTTGATGTGAATTGTCATATATTGACAAAATTTACTGATATTTATCCAATGAGTTTAGTTGTAAGAAGCATAAGACTAGGGATGTGTTTTAATACACATGAATACTAAAAAGGAGGAAAACAGGTCAGAAGAAACAACAATATTTATTGCAGTTTATAAATGTAAGAAACTTAATTAGAAAGAAATTAATAAGACGGTAGAATGAGAATCATGAAGTGAAACAGAATCAGGTTCTAAAAAATATTGTCGATAAATCCAATCAAATAACTAAAACAGATTTCGGCCTATCTCACCTAATCTATAGCAACAAACTACAATCAGTTTTCAAACGTACATTGATTCATAAGTCTTAAATTCACAGTTAGTAATTTCATGAACTCATGTTGCGGTTTATTTTACGCCTTCAGTAACTTTCATTGTTACTATTCTTGTCCCAGTCCCAGTTGTGATAGGTAGTGAGTGAATAGTCATTCATAACATAAAAGCAAGGATTGATGGCTCCATCAATTGCTTTTAACTATAACTTAACTCCTAACCTCAAACTTGTTTACTTAGTGGTCCTACCAGACTCAACCAATGCTTCAAAGACATCACCACAAAAATGTTACGTTCCATATAACCGGTGATTAATATAGCGAGAACTGTTATGCAATCAACTTATCTTAAGACAGATATTATCTATAAACCATCACTGCAAAAATAATAACGAAACTGTTTTTTGTGAAATTCAGTTTATTTTCATGTAACTATGTACATATATATGTGTATATACGTTTTTAAATATCTTCGTAGTTGTTCACTTAATCAAATCAAGCAACTTTGTGTTTATTATCTATTCATACTCATTTGATATAGATGATGCTGAATTCCAGTGGGATACTCGTAAGTCTTCCTTCACTACTTATTATTCTGATATCGTTTTTTCTTTTTTATAAAATTTGTGGTGATGAATATCAATTTTTTTTGTTATTTTCTGCTGAAGAATCATGTTTATGAAAGTCTAAAAGGATTACTGATTATTAAAGAAAAAAGTTGTCCTAGAGCTATTAATAATAAGTTTCACACTTGACTCGTATGTGTCTCTTCAATGAGATTACTACAGTAATGCTTCCTGTGAAATTTGAACCATAGTCACCCAGTATTACTTACTATTCTGACTGAATTAATTAAACGTTAAGATTTTATCCAATCTCATTTACAAAAGTAAAAATGATAGAATCTCTAGGGTTTTAATCATACAACAAGCACAAACACGAAAAACCCTATGGTTTGTAAGTAGCAATGATGAATTGAAGTTGTTTATTTAATAAAACATATCACAGTATTATAAAAACCTCACAACTATTCCTTAACACTTGGACCTTTTAAATCGGTACAATTTACTTTTATTATGACAGTCAAGATCACAAATATGAAATAAACGATAATTGGTCATTTATATATATGATTTCATTAAGATTCAATTTCATAGCTTTGTCATCAACACCTTCATGAATCAGTACTGAAAGTTGATAGTCAATCATAACTTATCTCTTTTATTCGTTTCTAAAACCGCTACAAGTCCTAGCTCCTGACTGTATATTATGAAGTAGAATTAGTAAAAATAATGTCTCATATATATAGCGGAAGGTTATTTCAAATGTTCACTTCAAACAATCCAAGCAGGGAATAGTAAATCAAGTGAATGATTAAATATGATTTAGTATTTATGAGTACGTGAATAAGTTGCCAACATTAACATATACAACATGAGTCTAAGTAATTCATGTTTAAGAAGACAAGAGGGATAAATGCGTGGGCTGGTAAGTACATACAATCATAAACATTCATTTATATAAGTATATAACTCATATAAATATCAGAAATTTCTAAAACTTCATGGTGGTCTGTTGAAACATTACAACTGCTCAGTTGTCAATTGAATATTTTTTTCAAATAATTGAGACATCTATTACCTTATGGAACGTAGTTCTTAGACCATTAGTGTAGTGTAGTCTCGCGAAGATAGAAATATCATTTATTTGCAAAATTAACATATCAGTTAAAATTAGGCCATGATTAGTTGCTGAGAGAAAACAAAAATATCTAGCTACTGCCAATACAAAACACTATATTTAGTAACAATATCGAAGCTCAGGATCCACATATGCCGAAAGAGATTAATCAATTGCAACACTTAACATCAATAACAATGAGAAAATTAAAAGAGTCCTTACAAATAAGTTTAAACTTATTTTGTTTCACAAGCTATTGGTTAACTGAACTCATTAGTTGAAGTTGTTGCCTGGATTTTTATCGATCTTTGTTAGCATACGCTCATCCTGTTCCGTACAACGCGATGTAATCATTTTGTTTCAGGTTATGTCGAATACTAAAGTTCGCATCATGGACTAATCCTGGTTAAATAACCACTACGAAATTAAGGGTTATTGAAACCTACTTCGTTCTAGTATGAGACAGGTTTAGGAAATTCAGATCTAGGTGAAAGCCTTTAACCTTTAGCCTACTGAAACTCCATCCAACCATTTGTATTACACAATTATCTGCCAATGTCATTAGTGAATAACTGTCTCGCACTCAACATGACTGAACTTGCTTCCTAGCGTTCAGTGGTTATCCAATTAGGGTCAGTCACTATTGTTAATTATAAAATACTAACACTCTAACAAATCCCTTATATCAGTCATGTAGAACAGATGGATTATGTCTAGTACTAGAATTAAAAAACGCATGTATTATCCTATTTGCGACTAATAGGCTTTTGAAGTATGTTCTCAATGGGATGAAACGTGAGTCCTGAATTTTACTATCAACGACAATCCATATATTACATTCAACTTCTATTTCTTTTATTCGATTCTTTACAGAGAATCATTCATCAAATAATAAATCTGTAGGATACCGATATTACGAGATTGTAATTCTTGTTGAGATGATTGAGAAAATTTGTAGGTCAGGTGGATGATTTTGATAGAATTTTATTTTCTGTGATGGATAGTTCGTTCGTGGAGTTTTCTTCATTCTTCTGAACGCCATCATCAACACAAAGCTCAGGTGAAAGTGAAGTATTCAAATTTCTCTAAATATGGTTCACAGCTTGTCATACAAAGATCAATTGTCTTGTTGAAATGAATGTACATATCTAACTAATCAGATATACTTCAATTTGAAACATTATCAAAACACTTCGATACAAATTGAATAAATCCTAAAAAAAGTTAGAACAATAGTAACAATTCTCATCTATTCAATAAGTTTATTAAAACAGTAATTAGTTTCTATTATTATTAACTTTTTACAAAATAAATGGATGGTCTAATGGTTAAGCGTTCGAGTGCGAGACTGATAGATATTGGGTTCGAATCTTGCAAGGCGGGGTCATGGATGCGCACTGCTGAGGAGTTCCATACTAGGACGAAACGGCCGTCCAGTGTTTCCAGGTTTTCCATGGTGATCTAGCTTCAATTAACTCATAATTTCAACTAATGAAATATATAGATTGTCAAATTCTTTTTTAAACAATAACTATACTACTATATTATCTAATTGTAGGTTGGTATACTGTATCACATGAAGGTAATCGATATGGTGTAACGTTTCATAGTCGAATATTTGCTAATGAATTTATGAAATGTTTAGAAGCTGAATATGGTCGATGGAATACAGCTAATATATTAAAAATACAAAGAGATGGACAAAATTTTGTTATTTTAAATATATTTTTTCATGATCTTTTTACACCATGGTTTTATACACAAGGACCTATTAAAAATGATGAAGAATGGATTCGAACAGATTTTAAAAATATTTGTCATACAGTACAAGGTAAGTGTAAATTAAACATTGAAATGAAACAAAAGTACATAGTATATATCTTTCAGATAGAATGTAAAGTATGCTAATTAGTCATTGATTATTAACTAATGTCATGTATTATAAGCAAAGATGGATAGTGGCTTGAGATCAAGTGAATTAAACTTCACCCCATCGCACAAGCAAGCGGCTATCAGGACTCAGTAGTTAAGTGGATAACGCAATGGCGTTTGAAGCGAACGGTACTGAGTTCGAGTCCCAGAGTGAACATCAACTCTGAAATGCAGGTACATCCGGCTGACGATTCCCAAACAGGACGAGACGAGCATCCTGGATTCCACTGCTAGCCATTATCCATCTTTGCCTATAATGCTTGTAAATTAATGCAATATCGAGGCATACGCACAGTATGCAAATATGCCAATAACACACTGATCAATTGCAGTGCTAAAACATCAGTGGGAAGATTCAAGTAGATCAATATATATATATATATATATATATATATATATATATATATATATATATATATATATATATATATATATTAGTCCGAAGCCATGGTGATAAACTAAGTGAAATAAAATATTTCTTCGATCTATTCATCTTTTTGCTAATTTCTAAATGAGGGCTTTTCCTGTCAAACTGGTAGTAAGTAGGGGTTCGTAAAACTCGTTTGAGGCAGTAGAGTGCAATTACTTAGGGACTACGATAGATATCATCGATTGCAGAGGATGATATTTGTGCAATATCGTCTAGTTGCTGTCGTGAGACCTACAAACCATTAGATTCCTACTGCAGAGTTTGAAAATCAAGTGCTTACTACGTGACTGGAAGGTTCTGAGTTCCATCACTGTTAACGTCTTGGATGCCTACAGTTGGAAAGTCACATTCTAAGACGAAATCTATGTCCAATACTTCTTGGTCTTCAATTGTTATCAATCTAATCCCAGTTTGTGATGCAAAACTATTAAATTAATTTAGTTAAATCGGATTGTATGTTAGAGAAATTACGAGCAACAATAGTATTTTAGTATATATATTATTATTATTAATTAAATAAACAATAGTGAATGTTATGCTATACTGTAACTCCAATTAGTCACTTCGCTATTGAATCTTATGCACAGAAACGTAACATACGACTAGTCTTATCTTTATTTCTTCATCAGTTAACTGAGAACAGTGTCGAAAACCAATTTAAAAAGAAAATGACTTTTTCAAAAATAGTTTACTCTTTTTGGATTTACATTCTATTACAATTAGTCTTCTTTATGCCTATTCTTCTACTCGATAGCTCGATTGGCTGTGAACCCTCGATTCAAATGGAATAAATTTTCAAAAAATTCAACAAATAAAACATTAAAACAAACAAATCAATCATCAATTAACACAAATATATCAAATTTAGACAAGAAAAACAGTGATCGTTTATCAAATCCTAATACTGTTACAACACCATGGACACCATGGACTAAAGTAGCTTATATTCCATCATTAACTGAAACATCGGTTAAAAAGAATTTGACACGTAATTCAAATAAAAGTAAATATAAAATAAAAAATGAAAATAAAACTAATCAACTGGTCAATGTAATCATATTAGAAGATATTATTGAATGTAATGGTTTAGATAAAGGTGTGCAAACGCATCAAAAACGATTACAAACACATAAAACAACAATTGATCCAGTTGTATAGATGGTAGATAGTGTATATTGATGCAGTAAAGATTATTGTATGATACTGGTTGAATCAATTACTCATACTTTACAATTGGTGAATATCCTGGATAAAATGATACGATCATCATATTTATTTTATTTTAAAAAAAATAATGTAAACCTATTGAAAACTATTCAGAAATGCTGTAATGGAACTTTCACTTTTCATACAAAACTTTCAATGACACCTAACATGTTTAGTGATTTTGTTGTGATTTTAAAACCTCATGTATTTATAAATTGAATGTAATTTGTTACAATCACTTGTGTTTTTTATATAAAATTTACAAATTAGTCTGTTGTCTACTTTGTATAATTTTATTGGTATTATAGGGCCAGTGGAATTTCACTGAGCCCTAGCCAAGTCATCCGGCAGTTGGGTCATTGAATATCGAACAAATCATCGATCCTCGTCAAGGTAAAGGACAACTAACGCCCATCAGTTAATCGTATGCCATGGACTGGCCCATGCGACAGTGGTCCTACTTTCGCTTGTATCTACTTTAACTAATATATTTCTGTAATAACGTCCTCTGTGTTGTGCAGTCTTCAAAGCATCTATGGTACCTTGATACGTCAATGGGGTAGTCCACGTAAGGTGCTGACCACGAGGTGTGACTTCTATGTTAGCTAGTTTATCACACTAATCACGTCTAACTCAAGTAGGCCTCCAATCATTTTGACATAGATCATCTACGTTGGTGATCAATAGTATGTATTTGAAACAAGTAAAATGGTGACACTTGTTTGCAAATGTCTATAAACTACTACTTTTAGATATCGAACTGGGATACGTGACCCTGCTATCCCTCCTCTAAACTCTTCTTGAACTAAATCTAATAACATGTTTTGTTACTTCTGACTATAAAAACTATTTTTCTCTTACTGTCATTGTCGTTGGATGAGTGTGCCTCTCAATATATTCAAAATATTTGTGTTACGTACTCTGTAGATATTTGTAAGCCCCCTCTGGGTACCAGCAGATACCTGTAAAATAAAAGTATCCTAAATTGTTCATGTATGTTATCGATCAATAGAGTAATTTCATTCATTCATTTTGACAATTTTAAACTCGTTCTATATTCATCAAAAACCGATAACTCTTAACAGTGACGATAAAACTGACTATTAAGATATTAATTACATTGCGTGAAAGGAAATTAGACTAATCCAACCACACAAAAAAATTTCAACAAAGAACTTCTAAACACTACTCACGAAGTAGTAGATCTGAAATAAATGGAACAGCCAAGTTGTTGAAAGCAGTCATAAGACTGAGTCCAGTGATTGGCTTTAAATCACTCCAAAATCAAGCCTATTTGTGGAGTAATAGTTAATATTTCTTGAAGATTATTCAGCATTATATTTAGAATCTTCAAATTTGGCTTCACAATAATCAGACAAGTTTATAATGTACGCTCCTGATTAGCCCTCCAAAAACCACACATTAAACAAGCTAACGTAGAGCTTCAAGGTTCTCGGGTACAAACAAAAAAATGCTTCATGTGTCCAAATAGTTGTACATCAAATCATGTGATAAATGCTAACTAACACCATAGAAGGAAGTGACGGTAAGAATTTATTACCCCTTAACACTCAGACAATGATAGATGAGCGTCTAGAGTATTATGATAGTGGTACACTTGCAGTCTAGAGACGGGGAAAAAATATGGTTTTCAAGATAACTGAAGGATATATGAAAGAAGACAAGAGATTTTTCATTTTATAAATGTTTTAAAAATGGATTCCATGTCATCTTGTGCGCTGGCGATATATTATGAGGAATAATTAAGCTAAAGACTCAGATCTTAATTTCACTGGCACTTGAGTGACCTGTGGAAATTGTATCTTTCCATTAGTCACCTTTCAAAAGTCTTCTAATTATGTTTATTGTTATGTTTGATATTTTGTATGCAGCAGTATTATTTAACTGGAAAGAATCTATGCTAGTTGCTAGTGCTCTTACGTTTTACAACATCATGTTTGCCTATTGACAAAAATAATCCTGTTTCGTGGGTAGCAATCATTCGGCAATATCGTATAGTTGCGTATCATTTATCCATCATCATCTTACTAATTGATTACAACAATTCTTCAAACGAGACCTCAATCATTAAGTCATAAAACATAAGAGTATTTTCTACAGAATTATTTAAATTAAAGATTTTAACGTCTTATTTACATGCTTCTTGTCCTCAGGGCAATATTCTGTAGTTTTTATAATTCTAAATAGCTAAAACACTATTACTATTACTCTTCTGAAATGTTATCCATATTCAACATTTAGTTGCCCTTCTACTCTTTATCTAATAGTCAAACAATGCATCTCCAAATGGAGAAGCATCCATTATAGTTATGAAGTAGTCAACTATGCTTGGAATAAATATAATTATCTGTTTGTGTGGTTTACCGATTTGGAATAATAACAACTCTCAGTAACTCATTTAATAACCTGTCACTCATACTAACCAAAAGTTCTTGTCGTTATCTAGAAAATAATTTTACTCGTACCCAGTTGAGGGAACACTCAAGAGTGTCGAATATTCGGCTGCGATCTCCAATAACATCTGTAAATATCGGTTCGTACACATGATTCTGACCTGTTTAGATAATTTTCTTCAAAAGACCAAGTTATCCATTAGATGAAAGTATTTGCCTGAAATAAAATTGTCTGATAGATAACTGATATTTATGCTCTTCATTCTCAAACAATCAAATATTTATTTTACTATGTATACCTTCACATTACAAAGACAAGAAATGAATGCTTCACATAACATATTGGTTGAACTTTGTAATGAATTTCGGCATTTTAACTGTCTTAGTCTCCAGAATATTAATCAGTTTGGCAGTAGGAAAAATTTGTAAACAAACTAAAGATCAAATCAGTAAGCGCAATCATTGAAAATATTTATAAAAGTTAGGATATTTAAACCGAATGGGATTAAAGATGGTTGGTGGCTAGCAATGGAATCCAGGACGCGTGTTTCGTCTTATTCCGGACTTGTCAGCTGAATGTACCTTCATCCTAGAGTTTATTTTCACTCTGAGACTCGAACACTTTGCCCATAATACTTGTGAAACAAAGGCAATATCGAACCAATCCCCACAGGATGCACATAAGCCAATAAGAGACTAATCGATTGCAATGCTAAACATCAATGGGAAGATTCAAACAAACAATACCGAATGAATTTAGAATCAAATTAACCACGTTCTCAAATGATTAACAAAGTAAAGTTATCAAATAATATGAAATGAAATCTACAAATAGATAGGAACATTTAATATACTAAGAATTGTTTAAAGAATAATAGGAATTCAACGCAATAAAAACCAGTCTAAAAAAAAAGAAAAGAATATTTGAACAATAAAATGCTCCCAATGATACCTTTTTAATTCAGAGCTCCATAGTTACAAATCGATAAAGAAGAAATCAGAAAAATCATATCTTTTAAGGTAACGACCTCTAATCAATAGTTTAAAATCGTCTGTACAAAAATAAATATAAAATGTGAATTTCTCTGTTATGGCTTGTATGGTAATAACAATTATTATAAGAAATATTATATATTTTATGAAATCTCAAGGTATGATTATAAATATATAATAGGGGGTTATACAAATATCAGTGAATAAAATAGGAGGGTAATATTTATCATTTGTACTGATAAGATTGAACTAGGAATGAGACGATTCTATGAACTAATGTAAATAAATGACTTGAACGCATCTCTTTTATACACATATATCTGTCTTCTAGGAATCATTGTCAACTGTTTCAGTTATATACAATAAGCATAATATTGAAATCTTCATTAGATTATACTAGATTTGATTTTTAACTGAGATTTCATTTTCAATTTTTATATTATATATCTTTAGTCGATTAAACTTAGTGATGCTAATCTGACATGCATGTGTTCACGAGAAACTAAAGATAAGACCCTTCCAATATGGTTTATCCAACTAGTTTAGTTAGTATCAATCATCATGAGTTGATTATTTAAACTTATTATTAGAAACTCTTCAGACAAATGAGTTAACAAAACTTATGTTATATAACTTAGTTAAACAGGAAAGAACTATACTATGTAAAACAAAACAACTAATTATAACTTAATTCAATATGTTTATTTCTTTTTACCTATGAATATATTATGATAATTTTTAGTCTAAATGTATTTTAATTAAACAGTTTACAACGTTATTTACTTAAGCAAAAACAAATCTTTTAGTTGGTGGAGATTTGTAGCTCAGGTGGATGATTTTGATGGAGTTTTGTTCTTTGAGCTGGATGGTTTAGTTGTGGAGCTTTCATCGTTCTTCTGAACGGCATCATCAGCACAAACTTCCTGATTGGAAAATTATGCACAAATATAGGAACAAAAATCAAACCAATCGGAAACACGACCAAAAAAAAAGTAAACAATGGCAAATTTAAGGTCAGTCGAACCAATCAACCTAGAGCTGTACAGAACTAGCTGTGAAACGCATATGGAGAAATTTGAATACTTCACTTCTATCTAAAGTTTGTGCTGATAATGTCGTTTAGAAGATGAAAGCTCCACGACAAAACCATCCAGCTCAGAGAACAAAAATCCATCAAAATCTTTTATTAAAACTAAGAAAACCTTTAAGACGGTTTAGTGAAGAAAGTTTTCTTTCTATAAACATTGTATAATATATATATATATATATATATATATATATATATATATATATATATATATATATATATATATATATATATATATATATATATATAATAAAATAGATATTGCATTATGTAATCAGTGATTGAAAGTATTTTAAACTATTAGAAGAATTCTGTCATAGTTGAAACAGTAAAGTACAAAAGTAGATTATAGATGAAAGATAATTGTAAACCTGAAAAATATAAAGAAAGAATTCACTGCAAAAAAAGAAAAGAAAAATAAAGGAATAAACCTTTTCCATACTTAAAAGGAGTAGTTT